CCTCCATTCTTCTTCCTTATAAACTATTTCTCCCTGTCGCACCCCGAGGCCAGTTTTTAGGGCGGGCCGGCCGTTTCGCCTGAGCTTTCTCACCACGTAGGACTCAGAAGCCTACAAAGTGGAAACAGCTTCACAGATGGAGGGCGGGTCGTTTTCAAAATGTGGCTCTCGCATTAGCGCCGCGCACATGCGTTTTCAAAACTTGCAAGACCTTCACGGATTGAGGGCGGGTCGTTTTCAAAATGTGGTTATCGCCTTAGCGCCGCGCGCATTCGTTTCAAAAAGTTGCAAGAGCTTCACGGATAGAGGGCAGGTGGTTTTCAAACTGTGGTTCTCGCCTCAGCGCCGCGCAAATTCGTTTTAAACATGTGTAAGAGCTTCACGGATTGAGGGCGGGTCGTTTTGAACATGTCGTTCTCGCTTTAGCGCCGCGCACATTCGTTGTGACATTTTGCAAGAGCTTCACAGATTGAGGGCTCCTCCTTTTCAAAATGTGGCTCTCGCATTAGCGCCGCGCACATTCGTTTAAACAACTTGCAACATATTGAGGGTTCCTCCTTTTTCAAAATGTGGTTCTCACCTTAGCGCCGCACACATTCGTTTTAAACGTTTGCCAGAGCTTCCCAGATTGAGAGCGGTTCCTCTTCAAACTGTGGTTCTCGCCTTAGCGCCGCGCACATTCGTTTTGAAGATTTGCGAGAGCTTCACGGATTGAGGGCGGTTCTTTCTTCAAAATGTGGTTCTCGTTTTAGTGCCGCGCACATCCGCTCTAAACATTTACTCATCCGCTCTGAACATTCTAAACATGATCAACGTACCAGAATTCGTGTTTTAGAAGGATTCAGGATTGTGCGGATGCAGCAGTTATGTTGATTCGCGGTGTTGAAGTCCTAAGTATGGCGTTCTGGCACGATTCCAGATCGTCAAGACGCTGCGGTCAAGTTGATCCGTGGCGTTGAGAACCATGTTTTGGCATGCTTCAGGATATTCAAACGGTTGTCTTCCAACGAGGCAGTTTCTTCAACGGAAATGCACCGTTGAAGGGGCCTACGAAGAGGGAGCTTTGAGGGAGAATTGATTCCAACATCGTTGATGACCCTTGGGTTTACACTGGTCCTCCTTCTCATCCTCCTTCTCGTTCTCCTCCTCCTCCTCATCGCCATCATCATCCTCATCCTGATCCTAATGGTCCTCCTCCGCGTCCTCCTTTTTTCTATGCTCCTCATCTCACTCGTCCTCGACCCCATTATACGAATCCTCTTCATCCTCCTGGGGCTATTCCTCCCGGGGCTATTCCTCCTCCTTCTCATCCCCTGCCTCTTCATCGCGTTCCTCCTTGTGTGGTTCCGCCTCCCGTTCCTCCTCCTGTTCCCCCTACTCTCACGGTTTTTCTATTACGCTTCATCGTGGTCCTGTAGCAGCGCTGTGCAACAGGGTCCCCACTGGAACAGAGCGCGCAATGCTGTTGTGAATGCGCCTGGCCGTTCCTTGCGGCTAAAGCGGTTGTTGTCGTAGCGGCGGATGGGTGATTTCGTCTGGGGCTCATATTTCCCTCAGTTTGCTTCCGCCCCTGCAGCGCACGTGTCAGGCCTTGATAGCGTCTCGCAGTGCGCCCTGGCGATCTCGACGACCGCCAACGTTTGCCTCTCGCAGATTCACGTCTGGGGGGCGCCCGTGCCGCTGGGTTCGGCGGTGATCGGCGCGGCCGTGAGCTTCCTGCTTGGCATCCTGGCGGTCCTGGCGCTGCAGGCGACGCTGTGTGGCTTTATCCTGTCGGCCAGGTTATTGTTGGGCAGTGCTGTCCGAGGTGCCGACGTACCTTTGAGGGCAACACCCGCGCTGAAGGATGGCGCCCAAGGGGAGAGCTGCCAAGCGGGCCTTGAACCTACAACCAAGGGACGTTATTTTCGTCGACGTCGACGAGGTGGGGGAACCCTGGCATGAGCTGGTGATCTTGGCTTGCGATTCGGGGGCCACGTACATCATTGTCACACCAGACCAGGACGTCTACGAGGAGACGCTCGACACGGACAACGTTGCGGACTTCAGGCAGGCCGGGCCGCGCGGCGGCCTGCCGCCCGGGGTGGGCGCGGCGCGCGGGCAGCCGGCGCACCGGTTCCGCGACAGGCTGGAGGAGATGAGTTGAACGATCTGCTGAAGGAAGGTGCGGCGCTGGCGGCCAGGGCCCGCGAGGAGATGGGCTTGCCGATCGAAGAGCCTGGGACCGAACTTGGGCAAAGGCTGCCGCTGGCGCTTCCAGAGGAGCCGCCGCTTGCGGCAGGCCGCACGCGTGCGGACTAGTGCTGTACCTTGGATCCGACGAGGTTCGCAAAGGCAAGGTGGTTTCGCTGCCCGACGTGCTGGACACTCCTTCGGAGTACTTCGTCGGCACGGGGCGGCACGGCGTCTGCGACGTGGGGCGCAAGGGCCAGAACGCGCCGATGGTGCGCCTGGAGGAGGGGGAGAACCAGAGGAGGCAATGCAGATGGTGTCGTCGCTGGCTGCTCCTTCGGATGCGCGGATGGGAACGCGGACGCCGCCTGCGGCCCCAGAGGATGCGCGGACGCTGGCGATATTGCGTGACCCGGCGGGAAGGAGGTTCCGTACCTGGAGGAGTGTGGCGGAGAGTTCAGAGAAGAGCGACTTCGACGATTGGGCCCTGTCGGGACCGAGGACGACGCTCTATGTGGTTTCGGAGATCGCCGAGATGAGCGGGGGCCCGGCGCAGCGACACACGACGTGGAAGCACGAGAACAAACTGAACGATGACGAGCACAGCGTCGTGGCCCACGAGATGTTGTCGGAGATCTTGGAGTTGGCTTGCACTTATGACCAGGTGGACGTGGCCAACCCGGCCAGCCTAGAAGCACTAGCGCGGCACATGCAGTTCATGGAGCATAAGGTTAAGAAGAAGAAGAAGAAGAAGGAGGCTGGCAAGGACTTCGACACGCAGGATTAACATCCGCCGCTCTGCGGTTGATCGGGAGTTTCTGTATATATAGAAGAAGGGGCGCGCGATTCTGGGCGAGAGGGAAACGACCGAGAGAAGAAGGGGCGGCCGCCCCACAGGACCTCTCCATGGTGCCGGAAGCCCATCAGGGCTCCCTCAGGGCCCCTCCCCCAGGGCCGGGGCTCCCTCGCCTGCCCCCTCCCCCTCCTCCTCCTCCTCCTCCTCCTCCTCCTCCTCCTCCTCCTCCTCCTCCTCCTCCTCCTCCTCCTCCTCGCCCCCGTCGGCATATCCAGGCGTGTTATGCAGTCAGGTCGTCCGTCCGGAAACGGTGCCGGAGGCCGCTCTGGGCTCCTCTGGGCATCCCCCCCGGGGCCCGTTTTGTGAGGATGTCTCAGGCGAGGGCGCCGGTTTGGGATTCGTCACCGGATCCAGCGGATCCAGCGGATCCGTCCGGAAACGGTGCCGGAGGCCGCTCTGGGCTCCTCTGGGCATCCCCCCCGGGGCCCGTTTTGTGAGGATGTCTCAGGCGAGGGCGCCGGTTTGGGATTCGTCACCGGATCCAGCGGATCCAGCGGATCCGTCCGGAAACGGTGCCGGAGGCCGCTCTGGGCTCCTCTGGGCATCCCCCCCGGGGCCCGTTTTGTGAGGATGTCTCAGGCGAGGGCGCCGGTTTGGGATTCGTCACCGGATCCAGCGGATCCAGCGGATCCGTCCGGAAACGGTGCCGGAGGCCGCTCTGGGCTCCTCTGGGCATCCCCCCCGGGGCCCGTTTTGTGAGGATGTCTCAGGCGAGGGCGCCGGTTTGGGATTCGTCACCGGATCCAGCGGATCCAGCGGATCCGTCCGGAAACGGTGCCGGAGGCCGCTCTGGGCTCCTCTGGGCATCCCCCCCGGGGCCCGTTTTGTGAGGATGTCTCAGGCGAGGGCGCCGGTTTGGGATTCGTCACCGGATCCAGCGGATCCAGCGGATCCGTCCGGAAACGGTGCCGGAGGCCGCTCTGGGCTCCTCTGGGCATCCCCCCCGGGGCCCGTTTTGTGAGGATGTCTCAGGCGAGGGCGCCGGTTTGGGATTCGTCACCGGATCCAGCGGATCCAGCGGATCCAGTCCGGGAAACGGTGCCGGAGGCCGCTCTGGGCTCCTCTGGGCATCCCCCCCGGGGCCCGTTTTGTGAGGATGTCTCAGGCGAGGGCGCCGGTTTGGGATTCGTCACCGGATCCAGCGGATCCAGCGGATCCAGCGGATCCGTCCGGAAACGGTGCCGGAGGCCGCTCTGGGCTCCTCTGGGCATCCCCCCCGGGGCCCGTTTTGTGAGGATGTCTCAGGCGAGGGCGCCGGTTTGGGATTCGTCACCGGATCCAGCGGATCCAGCGGATCCAGCGGATCCGTCCGGAAACGGTGCCGGAGGCCGCTCTGGGCTCCTCTGGGCATCCCCCCCGGGGCCCGTTTTGTGAGGATGTCTCAGGCGAGGGCGCCGGTTTGGGATTCGTCACCGGATCCAGCGGATCCAGCGGATCCGGATCCCGGAAACGGTGCCGGAGGCCGCTCTGGGCTCCTCTGGGCATCCCCCCCGGGGCCCGTTTTGTGAGGATGTCTCAGGCGAGGGCGCCGGTTTGGGATTCGTCACCGGATCCAGCGGATCCAGCGGATCCAGCGGATCCGTCCGGAAACGGTGCCGGAGGCCGCTCTGGGCTCCTCTGGGCATCCCCCCCGGGGCCCGTTTTGTGAGGATGTCTCAGGCGAGGGCGCCGGTTTGGGATTCGTCACCGGATCCAGCGGATCCAGCGGATCCAGCGGATCCGTCCGGAAACGGTGCTGGAGGCCGCTCTGGGCTCGTGCTCTTCGCGCCGGGGGTGAGGATGACGTGAGTTCCACAGAAACTCCCTCAAATTACCTGGGCAGAGCGCGCCTCACGGGCGGGGCGATCGCGTGCCCGGAGTTTCTGAAGTGGGTCGCCGAGTCGGCGGCCAGGGATTCGGCGATCTTGAAGGAGGAGCGCAAGGCGGCAGAGGAGAGGGCTCTGGCGCGGGCCCCTCCTAAGAAGTCACGAAGATGGACGAGGCTGGGGAGCGGCCGACTTCAGCCAGTGCCAACAGGCCTCTGGGGCGCATGGTGCCGAGGGACCTGCCGCCGCTGCCCTCGGCGCCGCTCAACCCAGCTCGCGGGTCGAGGGTCCTTCCTCGGCGCGCCGCGCGGAAGCTCGACCGAGAGACTGCCGTCGGCCGCCGCGTGAACGACTGCGCCGCCGCCCTCGCCAACACGCACGGGGACGGCGACGTCTGCTCGGAGGCTCGCCCTTCGGAGGCACATTCTTCACCTGTGGATATGATTTGAGCGGCGGTCGCCGACGACGAGCCGCCCGATGACATTCCCAGCCCCGAGGCAGCCCTGAAAGAGTTGCTCGACCAGGACTCTCTGGGATGCAATCCAGATGGTCCCACTGCGGCTGCGCCGCGCGATCGCGATCTGGTTGCACGGCCCGAGTCGGCGGGCCGCGTGAGCTTGCTGGAGGCACTGCCGGAGCCAGATCGGCAGGAGGTGATCGACGGTGAGAGTTCGCCTTTATTTCGCGCTGACGAGGTCCGCCCTGGCGCCGCCAAGGTGCACTGCGATAAGACCCTGCGCAACAACAGAGACGAGCGCGTGGCCTTTGTCCAGGACTTGCCGCGGCGGGACATGGCACAGCTGCGCGCGCGTCGTGATTTTGAAATAAGAGTTTTCTCCGCGAAGAAGAAGGCCGGCAACGTTCGTTTGATTGTGGACGCGAGAGCGGTCAACCAGGCGCTGAAGCGGCCCACCTCGACCCATTCGGCGTCGACCGCGGCGCTGGCGGGCCTGGGGGCGGAGCCCGATGACCAGCTGGCGTTCTCCCTGCAGGACATCGCCGACTGCTTCTTCCAGCTCAGGGCGCCGGACTACATGATCACGCGGTTTGGGATGCGTCCGCTTCGGGCGCGAGAGCCGAACGTTAACCCATGCTGCCCATGGGGCTCTCGTGGCCGATGCGATGGACCCAGCAGGCACATCGCGAGCTGCTCCGCGACGGCGGGCTCGGCGGCATCGAGAGCGAGCTGGAGCGCCGCCGGCTGGCCCCAGGGGCGCGCGCCCAGCCGGCCCCGCGCGCGGCGCACGTCGACGACGAGATTTCTGCGTCGTCTCAGCCCGGGGCAACCAAGCAGGCGCGCAGGCAAGCCGCCGCGGCGATGGCTCAGGTCGGGCTGCCGCTGCGCGAGGTAGAGGCGGGCCAGAGCGTGGCGGAGGCGCCTGGGATGGAGCTGGACGGCGTCCAGCTGAAGGCGCGGCTGGCGCGGGCAAAGCGCCGGCGGCTGCTGCGGGGCACAAGGGCGCTCCTGCGGCGCAGGCGGGTTGCGGGCCAGGAGGTGGAGAAGCTGACCGGCCACTTCACGCATGCGATGCTGCTGGGCCGGCCTGCGCTGAGCGCCTTCCGGTCGGCTCGCGACTTCGGTAGGCGCCACTACCGCGGGCCTGTTGCCTTGTGGCCCTCGGCGAGGCAGGAGCTGGTCAACGCGATGAACTTGCTGCCGGTGCTCATGGTCGAGCCCAGTCTGCCGCGGCCTGGGCCTACGACCTGCTCGGATGCCACGCTCAAGGGCTACGCCGCGCAGGAGGCCGATGTCGACCCGAGAGCGGCGCGCGGGGCGGGGCGCTGGAGCGAGCGCCCGCGTTTCCGCATCGCGCGGGCGCGGCGACCTCGTGAGTTGGCGCTCGGCTGTCAGGGCGTCGCAGATGGAGGGTCTTCTCTTGTTTATCGCCGCCGCTTCTCCCACCCCGTCGTCAAGAATCCAATTGGAGACCCAGCAGGCTTCGAAGTTGCCCCGGGGCCCCGGGCGCTGCCGATCCTCCCCCGGGTGTCTCGGGGGAGCCCGTCGACGCTGGGGCTCATGGGGATCTTGGGCAGGTCCATCTTGGTGGCCTACCAGGGGCGCGAGCAGGGCCTCGTCGTGGATGTCATGAAGATGATGGGGACTTCGCAGGGCTCGCGGGGATCTTACAGGGACCTCCTCATGCTTCGGATGATCTGGGGCATATTCATGATATCTTTGGGCCGCAAGAGGCGGATGCAGAGGTGGAGATCAACGCGCAGTTTCCCGAGTTGCCGGAGTCGATCGGGAAGGAGGCGCCTTGGAGGACCACGCAGGCAAGGAGGTATTACAAGAAGGAGGCGATTCACTTGGAGGAGTTGAGGACCGCATTGTTCGGTTGGAGGAGGAAGTGTCGACAGAAGCGACATCATCGTTCTCGTCATCTTTTTCTGCGCGATGACATGGGCACGGCGTTGAGTCCTGCGAAGGGCCGTGCTGCATCTCATCCGGTGCTTGTTCTGCTCAGGAAGTGGGCCCCCCTTAGCCTGGCCACTTTCTCTCGCACCAGTGTGCGACGGGTTGCCAGCGAGCTCGACCCGTCGGATGAGCCTCGCCGATGTTTCCACTCGCCTGCCGAGGAGGCGGCTGCTGCTGCGTTGGGAGCCTACCGGCGAGAGGCAGCTGAAGCGCGCTCGAGCGCGGGCCGCGCAGGCTGGCGCGCTCGAACCTGAGAGCCCACTGCCAGCAACGACGTCAGTAGTGCGAGCAGAGGCGGTCGGCGCCGCCTGAGGAGGCCCACCTACTCGCGAGGCGGCCTCCCGCGGGCGCGGCTGGAGGAGGCGGGGGCCCCTCTTCCCATTCGCCCATCGCGCAGAGCGGCGGGGGCCCAAGGGTGCTGACTCGCGCCGCGGCGCCCTTCATCGACGAGATCTCGCCCGCGCCTTGCGAACCGGAGCGGCCGCCTGCCCCGGCCGCCGTTCGCGGGCGCGAGAGACCGGGCCGAGGAGCGCCAGATAGGCACTGGCGGGCTCACCACGCTGGAGCAAGAGAGCGCCATACTGAAGACCAAGCAGGATTACCAGAGGAGGTTGGCGCGGTTCGACGACTTCCGCACGACCCACGGGCTCGAGACGGATGCCGACGCGGGCCTCGAGGAGGCGCTGGTGGATTTCATGGACCTGATGTTCAGCATCGAGGAGCCGACCAACAGTGGGGCCAAGCTGCTCGCGGCCGCGGGGCATCGAGACCCTCGGCTTCACCGCGCGGGTCGCCCGCTGAAGCTGCCGCGCGCGGCGCGGGCGCTGCAGGGCTGGAGGCGGCCGATGCCGCCAGCCGCGCGCGCGCCGGTGCCCTGGGCGGCCGCGGCGGCGATCGCGGTGGCGCTGGTCAGCCAAGGGCCGAGGCGAGCAGGGATCGGCGTGGTGCTGGCGGCGGACGCGTACCTGAGGCCGGGAGGGCTGCCGTCGCTGCGCGCGATGCACGCGGCGCCAGCGCAGCTGCGGGCGAGGGGCCACTACCGCTTCACATCGCTCGTGTTGAGGCCCGAGGAGGAGCACGTGGCGACCAAGACAATAGGGTTCAACCACTCCATCCTGCTGGACAGCCCGTCAAGGCCGCACATCGGCCCGATGGTGGAGCAGCTGGCCTCGCGCCTGGACCCCGCGCTTCCTCTTTCCGTGGTCGGACGCGGCCTTCAATGTCATGTTCAAGAATGTGGCTCACCCAGCAGGATTGGACGGCTGGGAGCTGACGCCCTACATCCTGCGCCACTCTGGCCCCTCCCACGACTGGCTCACCAAGGCCAGGACCCTCGAGGCAATCAAGCGTCGAGGGAGATGGGCCTCGGACCTCAGCGTCAGGAGGTACGAGAAGGGCTCGAGGGCGAAGCGCAGGCTAGCGACGCTGGATCGCGGGCGCCGGCTGCTGCTGGCCAAGGCCGACGCCCACCTGGAAGTCGTCCCGCGCCGCGATGTTCGACCAGAGGCGGCGAGAGTTGGGGCTCGCCTGGCGCCGTCGACTGAGCCTGTCGCCCGCCGCCCTCGTTCGTTTGAGCTGTTTGCAGGAGCGAAGGGCTTTTCTATGTCAATGCAGTGTAAAGGTTGGAGCACGAACGTTCCGTGACACAAGCGATCAGGACTGGACAAAAGGAAGAGTTGTGAGGCATGTGTTGTCATTGTTGCTGAGTGTAAAGCACGTTCATCTCTGCACGCCCTGCGCCAGTTTTTCCGGGGCGAGACGCGGCAAGCCGGGATCGCCTGGGGACCTTTTGCGATCGCGGCAGTTTCCTGGAGGCCCCCCTGATCTCGGACCAACGGATGTTGATGAAGTGCGTAAGGGCAACCGATTGCTGCATATCCCCATACGTATGATGAGAGCTTGCATGTTATCATAATTGTGTTGTATCACTAGAGCATCCCCGTAAACCGTGGCTCTGAAGACAGCCCGCCATGATTCGTTTGTTGCAGCACGCATCTTTGACACACACACACACAGTATACTGTAGGTTTGGCACTGCCTGGCGTAAAGCTACTACTATTGCTTGTTGAGATGAAGGTCGAGGCATTCTCAATAGACAGTCGGCCGTTTGCGCGGGCCCAGCGTGTCGTTTCTCGGGCAGGCGCCACCAGGTGCTGGAAGGTAAAGCGCCAGGCGGGCGTCTGTGGGCACAAATTGCAGAGCCCTACCCTCCTCGCCTCCTTTTTTCCCTTTCGTCGCAATGTGCGCATGAAGCGTGTGCTGGTGACCTCACTAGTGAATCGTCTGAAGAAGTATGAGCCGCCTCAACCGCCAGGTCGCAGATAATGGCGGGCGGTGGCAGAATTGTCCGTGCTGAAAGCGAGTTCGCTTTCATGAGTTGGCTCGAAGTCTTGTTGCAGCCTCTGTCGCGAAGCGAGTTTGGCCACACTGCGAGAATCATCCTGGCCTGATACAAACAAGTGCATGTAGCAGCGCTGTGTAACAGGGCCCCCCGTGGAACAAAGCGTGCAATGCTGTGGTAAATGCGCCTGGCCGTCCCTTGCGGCTCAAGCGGCTGTTTTCGTGCCCCGTGCCAGCCCAGTACGTGCCTAATCAATTGGTTTCTTAATATTCACAGCGGAAGTTTGCAGGTTTGTTTTCGCTGAAAGCGAGCTCGCTCTCATGAGTTGGCTCGCGGTCTTGTTGCAGCCCCTGTCGCGAAGCGGGCTTGGCAACGCTGCGAGAATCATCCTGGCCTGGTAGAAACAAGTGCATCGTCTTCCTCCTCCTCCTCCTCCTCCTGCTCCTCCTCTTCCTCCTCCTCCTGTTCCTGCTGCTCCTCCTCCTCCTCCTCCTCCTGCTCCTTTTCCTCCTCCTCCTCCTCCTCATCCTCCTCCTCCTCCTTTTCCTCCTCCTCCTCCTCCTCCTCCTCCTCCTCCTCCTCCTCCTCCTCCTCCTCCTCCTATTCAGCAGCGATTACCTCGACCCATCCGACTCCAGGGACCTCGGCGTCTGCGCTGACGACGTGGGTTCGATCACGACCAGCTTGCACCAGTGGGCAGCCTTGGTCCCGCCCTTTGAGGCGGCCAGGACTCTGGCCACGCTGTCCCTACAGCCTGCCAAGTGCGTGGCCGTACCGCTGTGGGGCGTGTTCACTGCGGCTGAGCGCCTGGCGGCCGTGGCGCCGGCCTGGAAGCGCATCAAGGTGGAGAGCATGGCCAAGTACGTGGGTGTGATGATGGGGCCAGGGGCCACCGCCCTCGACCAGTGGCACAAACCGTACACCAAGTGGACGGACCGCGGCGTTGCCCTCGGCCGTGCTGGCGCACCGATGCAGGTCACGATCACGCTCTACAACCGCACTGCGCTGCCCACTATGTCCTACATCGCCCAGTTATTCGAGGTCTGGCGGCCGCATGCCGCGCGGGAGCACTGGCTGCTGCACCGACTGATGCGCCTTACACCAAACACTTTCGCGTTGAACACGTTCTTTGGCATGAAGAGGTGGTCAACGGCTCCACTCCGAACTCGCTGCAATGCGTCCTGCACGCGACGGCGTTCCGAGCTGCCTCAAATCAAAGTCGCTCTCAGGCTGGCGGGTGTACTGGGACAGGCTCAGGGACGCCGCGGAGCTCTATCTACCCAGGAACGCCGTGTCCAACCACAAGTGGTCCCCCGATTTCTGGGCCAACGGGAAGGCGATCGTGCAGTGGCTCGCCGAGGTGGTGGAGCACAGGGTCGGCGACCGCAAGTGGCGAGAGCATTCACGCCGCGCTGAACTCGCCGCCCGCGTGGCTGCTCCAGTGACCTTTTGCAGTCGGGCCGCAGGGCAACAAGGTCACCGGGCGTCCGGTGCCCCCCAGACGACCGGCGCTCCCAAGGCGCGCCGCGGCTTCCAGGCCGAGTACCGCAACTCCTTGCACGATAACCTCTTCCACGACGACATCGCGCACATCATCGGCAAGAGGCTGCCGCGCTTCTTCCCTGCCGGATGGTGCGGCCCGCCTCCTGATCTGGAGCAGCGCTGGGCCCGCCTGCGGCAAAGGCTGGGCCGCAAGAATCCCGCGGCTGCCTGGCCTGTGCTGAAGACGCTGACGGGCGGCTGGACCACTCGCGAGCGAATGCACCTATTCGGACCGCGCCCATGCATCTTCGGCTGTCAGGCCACGGACTCACATCACCACTACCTCCACGGCTGCGCACGCATGGAGGGTGCGCTTCGTGCGAGTTCCGAGCACTGGAGAGATGACGGCCTTTTTGCCCGGCTGGGCCTGCCCATGCCAGAGGTGAGAGCCACCGATCGCCAGATCGACCTGGCCATCTTCGACATCAATGTCGCATTCCAC